ATTGTCAAGAATTAGAAAAACCAGTAAGAAGAGGGTCAGTGAGAAAGCAGCAGGTCAAGGTTCATGTTGCCAAGGGAAACAATCTGAGTTTCACCTCTGGGATCCACACAGTGGAGGAGAGAACAGACTTCCAGCAGGCTGTCCTCTGACTTACACACGTGCACTGCGGTGCGTGGATGCCTACACACACACACACACACACACACACACACACACACACACACACACTCTAAATAAACAAATACATGTGATAGATTTGATATCTGTATTTTACAATTTCTCTTAAGAATTGACCGGCTTCATTTTGAAGGAATGGCACCCAAAATATAAAAGCCAAGTCAGCGCCTGGTCAGTTTTTCTCTTGTAACAAAACTCTGAGGCAGGGCAAGGACACTAACTTTTATTTATAAATTTTTCCTTGCAAAAGTGATAAAAGACTCTAACTTTCATAAAACAAACAAGCCAAATCCCATAATAACCTGGCCTTATTCCCTAGTTAAACAAGATAAAACAACTCTCTAGACTTCAATGTTAAGCAATCTGTGAGATGTCAAGTATGGGGGTACAGAGCTTTCTCACACCATTATCTTGAAAATAAGAGCCATAAGTGTAAATGTGTCTGCTTTGTTTAAAAAGCAAAAAGCTGAGTAGTTACACTGATGCAGAAGTTGAGTGCAGCCTTTCCCAGGAGTTCTCTAGGGACGACACACTCACTGGGTGCTGGCAGGTCACTTGTTGGACCTCAACAATAATGTGATACCTGCCTGTCACTGAGCCCATTGGGAACACCTGGAACAGTCTCTTATGTTTTACAAGAGGAGGTTCACTCTCAGGACAGTGAGCACTGGATCATTCCCATCCTTTATCCACAGAAGGTAATCTTAAAGTTTCGAAAAAGGCCAGAACAGCCCCTCTGGTCTCTTTCCCAACCTTGCAGTTCTCACTCCAATGATGCGGTGTGAACACTGTTCTAGTTGTGCCCCGAAGTGATCAGGGACTCTAATAACAGGTAACACCCATTACAGATACTTTTCACAGAGCCAGTGACGTCACAAAGCTTTGCACAGTAGGAGCAGCACTCACTAGAGGAACTGAGTGAGGCCAGCAGGCCAGTAGGTTCAGGAGCCTGGAGTAGGGGCATTGTTTAAAGGGTGTACGGCACTGCATGACTCCTAGATACCCATGCTAAAATGGCACGTAGGGTCTGGGAGCTAGGATAACTCCCTTCTCCAGATGGCACAGTGGTAGAGTTAGCACAGAGACGCAAAGAGTGCTTTAAAGCCGGATCATCTGACCAAACGACACCTGTTCCCACTGCCAGGATATGTCTTTGGAGAAATTCCCTAACAATTTCCCTCTCATCTGAAAATTCTACAATTATTACGACTTCTCCCATAGGGTGTTGTGAGGATACATGCAAATTATGTAACAAGAGTGATTACAGCAGATTTTAGAAGCTTGATACTGAAAAAAAAAAATCTATTCATCTAGAAACAAAGTCATATTTCAGGCATGGGAAACATACAGAGGTATAAGATGAAGAGAAATAGGGATCTCCGTGTGTGTGTGTGTGTGTGTGTGTGTGTGTGTGTGTGTGTGTGTGTGTGTGTGTACACACCAGAGGTCAACCTTGGGTGTTTTCCCCTCAGTAGTTCTCCAGTCCACCTTGTTATTTGAGACAAGGTTTGGCAATGGGGCCTGGACTTGCTGATCAGGCTAGGGTGGTCCCCAGGAATCTGCCCATCTTTGCCTCCCCAGCTCTGGAATTACAAACATGTGCCACCACGACAGGCTCTTTACCTGGATGCTGGGCCTCGAACTCGGGTCTTCAGGCTTGCACAGCAAGCGCTTTACCGACTGGGTTATCTCTCAAGTCCAGGATCCACTCAAACAACTGAGGGCACTTGGCAATCTTAGCTAATGCACATAACCTTAAGGGTAGACTTTTGCCAACACCACCGCTACAGTACCCATTCAGTATTCATTTAACACTTGCACAGTGCCTTACTTGTAACAGTCTGAGCTTCTTACACCAAGAATCAGCACTGTGCTCTGCTCTGCTGCAGCTAGGGTGCAGTCACAGAGTCTACACAGCAGTTGCCGGCAACTGTTACCTAGAAAAGGGGCCTGCCAGTGGTCCAAGATAAAGACTTACGCCTTGAGGTTTTTTTTTTTCTTCTCTAGCATCCCCACATCTGGCAATAAAATAACCTCAAATATTCTGGGGTGCCATATTTTGTTTCTTCAAGAATGTGGGTATAAAAACTCTCAATCAGGAGGCAGACATTTTGAGACGGGCCTTTGGCAGGTCTGGGAGGGGTTAGCACTAGAGTCTTCAGCAGGGTAATCACGCTGCATCCTTTACTTGCAGCTTAGATGACATGGAGGAACTGGGTGGTGTTTTATGAGGCAAACGAAAACTTCAACAAGGCCAGCAAGAGCAAGGGAAGACAGGAAAAAGATGGAATTATATGCATATCAATGGAAGGGAATAAAATATGAGTTAATATCCCACCTTTGCTGCGCAATGTGCTTTATCTGGCTTCCTGGCTTCCACTTATCATACAACAATTAGTCTATAAGAGTTAAATTATTTTTTCCTATCCTCTAAAGATTAGAAGTATTACGATTTCCCCTTGGTTGATCTCCTACCAAAAGTAGACCACAGACACTAAACAGTAGTAGAGCTAATGAGCAAATGTGTGCACTCTTTGAAGGCAGGGGAATGTCACTCAGTTTTATAACTCAGGTCAAAGCAAAGGGAACTGAGCAAACATATGCAAACTATCACAGAAGACCGTGCTCTCCAGAGGCCAGCCTGGCAGTGGCATCACAGACAGGAACAGCAGAGGCAGAAGGCTGTCTCCGAGGTAAACCTTCTAGGAGCTCACCCTTGTCATTAGCTCAGCACTTTCAAAGGCTGGTGCAGGTGACTGGCTGCAAACACACAGGACAGGACATGCGATCCCCCTCTGTGATCTCTGAAGCCATCTGTCCTGGCAGAGGACTGATGAGGTGTCAAGAGACCAACTCTACAGATGGCCACAATCGGTTGGCTACATAACAAAAAGGACATGGGATTCTAATTGGGAGGGGTGAGGAGGGGAGGTGTGGAGAGTCAGATGTGCCCTTCCCTGCACCAAGGCTGAAGTAAGTCCAAATAGCAGAGCTTCTGCTCATACCCAGCTCATCATTTCCTGCAACTTCTTTTCACAAACTTCCATCTTTGTTTGCAAATTTCCTGCTGGCTGGATAATGGGATCCATGTGTTAGTTTTCATGCTTCAGGTAAAAATTTGGGGGAGTATTAAAAAGGGGGAAAGATCTTCATTGTAGGAACAATGTGTTTAAGAACTTTCTACATCTATCTTTTTTGGGCTGCAAAAATAATGACAGTCCTACATATTTTCTATGATTCTAACTGGAGGCTTTTGATGAGGCTAGGAAATAAAAGCTGTGTCCCATCTCTCATTTTAAGTGCTGCTTATCTTTCAAGGACAGTGGGATTTAGAGTCTCAAATGGCAGGACTATTAGGAACTTCAAGATGTTCCTGAAGAACTTTTATCTTTGCTTTTCTTGAGGTGTCAAGAGAAGCAGAGCAAGATGTTCTGTGAGGCCTCAGGCTGCGGGGAGAGGAGGCTGAGTGCCCTTAGCCAGAGGACTGAACACATGCCAGTGATAGAGGACAGCACACATCTGGGTCAGGAATCCTGAGGGTCCCACACAGAGCAGAACTGTATTAATATCAACAGAGGTGAGAGAGCAAGGTCATGATTGCTCAGCTGAGCTGACTCCATTCTTAGGAGTCTTCTGGGAAATCTAGTTCTATCTTAAGCTAAGTCATAAAAAGAGATTTATCTACAACAAAGAGATCAGATGGTTAAATTTGTTATTTTATGTTTATGTATGTACACCATGTGTGTGCAATGCCCGGGTATCGGATCCCATGGAACTGGAGTTAATAGATAGCCGGGAGACACCATGGTGGTACCAGGAATTAACCCAGGTCCTCCAGAAAGGCAGCCCATGCTCTTAACCACTGAGCCATCTCTCCAGCCCCCAAAGAGTTAAAATTCTTATCATGGAAGAATTCAGTATAGAACTACTCTAAAATTTAATTTCCCTGTTTTATTTAAATACAGCTTTATTTATACAAATTCACTTCCTATGGTATTTAAGGTATCTCTTTGGGAAAATGGGGGAAAACAGGCCTTTAGGAGGGTGCTAGCACCCATGTCAGGGCATAGTTTCTCAATACTATTCCAATGGTTTTAATACGGCAAGGATCACTGTTATAAACCATTTTCTGGTGTTTATAAAATCTCCAAGCTTTACTACAACCCAGTGAGTCAAGATTACTAAAATAATATATGAATATTATATTGTTTAATAATATAACTTAGTTATATCATCCAAAAGAAAGGCTATAAGGTAAGGTCTCTCCTTCCTCAATGACAAGAGCTGGACAGACACAGTATCCCACGCTAGGCAAAGAGAAAGAAATGCAGGAGTTTAGAGCAGTATGGAAGCAGAAGCCTGTGTAAGGGGCAGGCAGTTCAACTGCCTGTGGGGCCTGGGCAAGTCCAGTATCCAAAGGACATCACACTTACGTAGGATGCCATATGAGGCAGAGGGGAAAGTTAGGACATAAATGTCCTCAATCGCAATGTTTTGATCAAGCATAAGAAGTTAAAATCCTTGGTCAATAACATCAGGCTCAGAGCACATTTACTTCTGGGCTGGGTAGTGCACTGGAGAGTTGGCTGAAGGCCAACATGCTCTAGGGCAGGTGGGTAGATGCAGAGAGGCGAGGCCTGCAGACCAGGAACAGGGGGACCAGGTTTCTGTAACGCCTGCAGCTCCTGAGTTTCCTTGTTTCAGGGAATGAGTATTTATATCCTGTTTGTTTTGTCAGGTCTCCAGTACAAGTATCCTGGGCCATAATGAGCCTCAGCAACTAACTCTGGGACAGTAGACATAATTTACTTCTAGACACTTACCAAAGGTGTGTCTTTTCCTCCTACGATGCTGAGACCAAGCCCTGAGCGCCCCTTGGAGATTTCTATGATCATTTCCTGTCCAGGGACAATGGGACACGTTGCAGGGTCCACTGAGACAGGAGCCTGGAAGTTCCCTGGAAGGTGATAAAACACAATGGTTAGCAAGTAGGAGAAGCAGCTCGCCCGGCATCCACTGGAGCACGCGGGGGCTGCTTGTCACTGCATTCCCTGCACACGAGGCACTACAGAGGGAAAGGCTGGGTCACTGCTCTCCTCGTCCACAGGATGAAACACGGCACCGCTAAGGCACTTTCTGAGATGAAAACATCACCTCCTCAAATCTGTCAACTTACCAATTTTAGGTATGCTTAATTAAAAAGAAACAAAACCCCTCAAAACACACCATGAAAATCAGCACGGAAAAACTTCAGATGACTAAATATTTAGGTACACAAAAGCATGTATTGCAATGAGTATAAAAACTATTATGACATTAGACCATGAGTTTAGAAGAATGTTTGCCTCAGGAGGTCCCAGGTTCAATCTCCCATACTGCAAAATGAAAAACAAAACAAAGAATAAGAAAAAACTGTGCCTAAATACTTTCAATCAGAGTACAACACATCAATTAAGATGTACAAGGGATTTAACTAATAAAGTATATGACTGAAGATAAAAATTACTTAAAGTTTATCTCTAATATCACAGGATGAGCATCCCTAATCCAGATATCGGAAGGTTTTTGATCACTGACATGACCCCACAAATGGAAAATTTACACATGACTTCATGCGATAGGAGAAACTCAAAATATAGACCCATCCAAACAGCCTTCGGGCTGTATATAGAATGTGTATATAAAATATAAATGGATTCTGTATTCAGAGTTGGATCCTATTCCCAATCTATCTCTTTATGTATATGAAAATGTTCCAAAATCTGAAATATCTCTAGTCCCAAGTATTTTGGTCAAGATTATTCAACCCATATAAACACAGGTAAACATGCACACACATATGTATGCACACATTTGTAGTATAATAAAAATATGAAAAAATTACTTTCCGAGGCCATAAATAAAACTGTTGTTAACGGAGTTATAATATTGTATAAAGGTTTACTCATTTAGTTAAGAGACTTACTATTTTTTATTATTTTTAGTTAGGTGTATTGTGAGTGTCTGCATATGGGTATGTGCACATGAGTGCTATGCCAGAAGACCAGAAGCATTGGATTCCCTGCAACTGGAGTTACAGATGGTTGTGAGCTGCCACATGGGTACTAGGAACCAATCCTCCATCCTCTGGAAGAGGAGCAAGTGCTCTTAACTGCTGAGTCACCTTTCTAGCCCCTAAAGGTCAATTTTTTTTTTTTTTAAATTATTGTTTAAGAGTGTATTTCTAGCCGGGCGGTGGTGGCGCACGCCTTTAATCCCAGCACTCGGGAGGCAGAGCTAGGCGGATCTCTGTGAGTTCGAGGCCAGCCTGGACTACCAAGTGAGTCCCAGGTAAGGCGCAAAGCTACACAGAGAAACCCTGTCTCGAAAAACCAAAAAAAAAAAAAAAAAAAAAGAGTGTATTTCTAAAACAGAAAAAAGCTTCTAGGCCAAGAAAGACGCTTAAAATACCCATTATCTATTTCCAAACATGTATTTTGCATATAACTAACCCAACTCTAGTGAATGAAGAACTAAATTTCCCATGTATCAGGTGCTCTGATCTGAGATCACGTCTACAGAGGTCTCTGCAGACAGCTTTGCAATAACCAAGTCTGATCACCACAAGGGTCCAGGGAGCTCCATAGAGGTGGATGACAGCAGTAGCGCCATCTACTGTTCAGTAGTTTCTAAAGCCTGGAAACTAGAAGACCTGGCTTCAAAGGTATGCCAGGCCTCTGCCTATGTGATAGCAGGTATTGGCAGGCTACTATCTATAACAAGAGGGTTTATATAATTTAAAAAGGAAAAAAAAAACAAAAAGAGAAAAATCATATTTTAAGACATGTAAAATTTATATGAAATCAAAATTTCAGTGCCCATAAACCAGTACTGAAACATAGACCCACTAATTCTTAGTTACGTTGTTGTACCACACAGGTAGAAGTGAAAAGCTGCAGCAGGCTGTGTGGCCTGTGAGCTCAAATACTGGCTACACAGTTCTTTATAGAAAAGTCTGGTTCTGGCTGTGTGTGGCGGCACACTACTGTCATCTCAGTACTCATGAGACTTAGGCAGGAGGGTCACCTTGAATTCAAGGCCATCCTGGGTTACAAAACCAAGACACAGTCCCCCTTCCTGCACCCTGCTCCAGATCAGGGAGGGGGTATAAGGAGGAGGAGGAGGAGGAGGAGGAGGAGGAGGAGGAGGAGGAGGAGGAAGAGGAGGAGAAGGAGGAGGAGGAGGAGGATTTCTAGCACAAAACAAAGGAAGCTGGCAAAGGAAGGGGACCTGTGGGAGTTCTCTAATCAATAATTACGATTTGATAACACAGGGGAGCTGGATTTAAAAGTATAGAAGTAGATCCAGGCACCTAAACAGCAGGTTCCTACATAGTCAAACTGGCTCGCTGTTGACGAGTAAATGCAGTTAAGCGTTACTCAGCAGGTCAGAAGAGGGACAGAGCAGTGTGGGTGAGGTGCCCGCCTCCAGCCTGGCCTGTTCCAGGACTCACCCAGCTGCCCCTGCCTTACACAGGGGACTTGCTGATCTAATGACCTCTTAGCAAAGATGGAGCAATCCAGGGATACAGCCCCAGAAATAACAAAAAGGACAACTTCAGAATGAGAACATTAAGTTTTTCTATGGTTTTCTTTCTTTCTATTCTTTCTTTCTTTCTTTCTTTCTTTCTTTCTTTCTTTCTTTCTTTCTTTCTTTCTTTCTTTCTTTCTTTCATCCTTCCTTCCTTCCTTCCTTCCTTCCTTCCTTCCTTCCTTCCTTCCTTCCTTCCTTTCTGCAGCCTATATATTTCATGCTGTTTCCCATTAATCTACCATAAACATGGCACACAATGCTGGCACAATTCATGGCTGCTTTTCAAACTTTACTCTGCTTTTATGAGTAACTAGTTTAGTTGTCTGAGTAAAGAGAGAGAAAAGGAAGATACTAGAGATGGCATTCCCCTCCCCCCACCTCCCTGTCCTAAGTCACTTTTTGGTTGTTTTATAAGATTTATTTTTAGTTTTTAGAGACAGGGTCCCTCTGCATAGCCCTGGATATCGTGAAACTCACTATGGAGCCGAGGCTGGCTTCAAACTCACAGAGATCCACCTGCCTCTGCCTACCAGTGCTAGGATTAAAGGCGTGTGCCACTGTGCCTGAAAAGATTTATTTTTATTTTATGGGAATGAGTGATTTGCTTGTGTGTATACCAGTGTACCACATGGGTGCATGACGCCAACAGAGGTTAGAAGACAGCACCAGATGCCCTGGAATTGGGTTACAGGTGGTTATGAACTGCCCTATGTGAATGCTAGAAAACAAAATCTGGTCCCCCGCTGGAGCTGCAAATGCTCTTTCTTAATGGCCATCTTTCTGTCAATCTTTGCATTTGTCTCTCTCACAGAACTCAACTCAAAGCCAGGCTCATATCAAGTATTCAATAAACATTTTTTTAAGTGGATGAGAGGCGAATATAGTTTCTGTATCTTTAAACACAGGGCCATGCATTGCTATTACCTGGTATGAATGCATGATGAACATTAGCCAGCCCCTCCTGATCTGTATCTGTAGTGGGTAGCTGTTTCAGCTTTGACCTGGAAGTACTACTCCCAGTGAGGCTTCCGGTAACTGTCATGCCTACCTATGGCCTGCCCCTGAGGCGGGGCTGAGACGGGAGCCCTTAAGACCCAAGATCCAGATGTGCCAGCTCTCTTGGTTCCTCGTGATCCTGGACGCTGGATGGTAGACCGAGCGGAGTTCTCCAGAGAACCCAGGGGGACTGCACCTCACCTCTCCCGGATCCTGTAACCAACCCCTTAACTAGCTGGAAGTTATCCCCCAAATAAACCTCCTTTTTAACTACCTGGAGTTGCCTTAATAAGTCCCCCAAAATGTATCTATGGCCAAGTATACAAGTTTGGGCATTTTAGGCCACACTGTCTGTCAGAGCTGCATAACTCCATCACAGAGCATCAGAATAGTCAAGCAGCCAGACAATATGTAAGCAATGCTCAATGATATGTTAAGGAACGTTGGAGTATGAATTTCATGTAGTTTTCATAAAACTGGCTTTTAGCTGTTTTCAGTCTTTAAAATATAAAACCCTCTCTAGCTCCTGGATGAAGTCAAAACAGGTGGTGGGCTATATTTAACCTGTAGGTCACAGTTTGTTTTCTGATGATGTTCAAGTACCTTAATATAAAACCAAATAATGCCTGCTTGCTAAACTTTTTACAGAGTAACATTTAAAAGACTGCTAGTCAGCACAGGGTTATAAATTTGCCATTGGTGAGCCTTTTTTGTTTGTTTGCTTTTTTTGAGACAAGGTCTAGGTCTGTCTATGTAGCTCTGGCTGGCCTGGAATTCACTATGTAGATCAGACTGGCCTCCAATTCACAGAGATCTGCCTACCTGAGTACTGGGATTTTATTTATTTGTAACCATACATATGTGTGTGGGCAAGAGCATGCGAGTGCATGTGCTCACGGAGAGCAGAAAAAAAGATCTCTAAGAGCTCAAGTTACAGGTAACTGTGAGCTGCCTGCTGTGGGTGCTGGGACTCAAACTCTAGTCTTCCAGAAGAGTAGCAAGCACTCAACCTCTGAGCCACCTCTCCAGCAGCAGCACCCCCACTGCTTTTACTGATAAATACTGCATTAAAGCAAGGTGGAAATACTGATGACTTGCTTTGAAGTTCGACTTTGAACTCTCACTCTTCACCATAATTTAAGCTACAACATGAATTCCATCCCTGCCCCCCTTCCCTCTCCTCTTTCTTTCTGAGATGAGATTTCCTAGAGCCTGGGCTAGCCTTGAATTCACTATGTAGCTGAGGAGGACCGAACACTCCTGATCCTCCTACCTCCATTTCTCAAACGCTGGGATTACAGGCACCACCATGCCTGGCTCTGAATACCAGCTTCTTTACTGAAATCCTCCATGGCTTATATCAATATACATAGTGTTAAAAACTGCCTTCATTATGGTTTTGGAGACATTATCTATGACTCAACCTTGGTCTTTGGGAGAGACTGGCAGGCAGTCTGTGGGCTTTAGTTTCATCAAATGCCTCTTTGGAGGGGTCTTCTCCTCTGTGTTTATACTCAGTAACTACTGGGCAGTGCAGATGGTTAAGTATTGAGGAAACAGTGCAGGAAGTGAGGTGTTCAAGCTCCAAAGTACAGAAGTAGAGGAGGGATACAGAGCCCGGTGTCCTGCCTCCTGTCACATTCATTCCTCAGAGCATCATGACATCTTTCTTCTCCAAAGGTTCACAGGCAGTTTTGGTTAGACAGAGTCGTACCAGAGTCTGTGAGGTCTCCATCTTCTGACTGACATAACGGACTTGGTGCTGGTGATATCTCTTGTGAGTTGACGGGTGCTTGTGTTGAATATGTTTGCTGTTTCATCTGGCAGGCAGCCTACAAAAGGAAGGAAAATTACATGAATGTCAAGAAGGAGAGAAGCAAGAAGAGCACTGTAAAATGGCTGTGTTGTTGTCATCACAGCAATGGTGAGCGTCAAAAACGTGTTTTGAGACAACAGGATGCTCAGAGAGGTGGCAGGGAAAGCCAGGTGGATTTTGTATCGTCTCCTGTTTAGCTTTGCTCCTAAGATACTTGGGTAGAGGCTTGGTCAAAAAGGGGAGCAGGATGTAAGTGCAACAGTAACTTTCAGTTTTGTGCTTTTGCTGACAACACCCCTAGTGAATATTAGCATTAACTAACTAAGAAAAATGAAGGACCCCATGCCTTCTCAAGAGTCACATAAAAAGTGGAGGTAGTGACGTGATTTGCCTGCTGGATTCCAGTAAGTGCCAGGCTGTCCCTAGACTCTAGAAATATCTGTTCCAGAGCCATAACACTCTAAGATTCTGTCTGTGGAAGGCTGTTCCTCTGTCCAAGGCACCATGCAGTATGCAAGAACTAAGGCTGTTCTAACCACTGAGCATTCATACTATGCTTCTGAGTTTTCAAGATACTATTAGCTGTATGGATACCTCAGTCACAAGAACATTCCTCAGTATCAGATATTATCATCACACAGCTAATTAGAGAAAGAGATCGGCTGGTCACCAGTTCTTGGAGAATGCTATAATCAGAGTACTTATGGAATAGCTGCTAGGCCGTGGTTCTAGGGGTGTTCATTTGATTCTTTTTATAAGAAAATATTTTGATTTTTACTTATTTTTATTAGTGCAATGTCTGGAGTTCAGTGGAGAACTTTCTGGAGTCAGTTATCAGCTCCCACCCAAATGCGGCAGGGTCTCTCTTGTTTTTGTGCTGTGTATTTCAGGCCAGCTGATCTGCCAGCCTCTAGACAATTGTCCTGTGTCTGTCTCCCACCTTGCTGTAGGTACTAGATACTGCACTTGGTTTTTTTTAATGTGGGTTCTGGGAACAGAACTCAGGTGGACAAGCTTGCTAGGCAAGGCTTTCACCTGCTGAACAATCACAGTAGCCCTCTGTCATCATCTTTAATACGACTGGATCCTTACTTGAAAAGCCTTTTCCTTTCCACATTTACTAACAAGAATAAAGTGTATATGGAGGGGTTATTACTAAAAACTGAGGGGTAGCACAGTGGCTCATGGCTGCTTAACTCAGGGCTGTAAAAAATGCATAATCATGCTGGGCAGTGGTGGTGCACACCTTTAATCTCAGCACTCGGGAGGCAGAGGCAGGCGGATCTCTGTGAGTTCAAGGCTAGCCTGGGCTACAGAGTGAGTTCTAGGAAAGGTGCAAAGCTACACAAAGAAACCCTGTCTCGAAGAACCAAAAAAAAGGGAAAAAAATTCATAATCACATAAAGTCATGCTTATCAGTGTCTTCACAACGTCAAAGAACACAAAAAAATACAAGAGTAGGGGAGTTTGCAGCCACTAATGAGTTTTGTGACTGCAGATGGTACTTGGCTTCCTCATCTGGGCATTGCTAGTGGGTTGTGAGGTGCATGCTGTGAGGGGGTTGTAAAGGCGGAAGAGGAATTAATTCCAGCAATGCCTACCCTCCCCCACCCCGAACAGGTTATACATGACTGGCAAGCTCTTGGTCAGAAACTTTAGAAACACAACATCCACTTCCATCGAAGCCAGCAGTTCCGGCCCTGCTGTGGTGCTGCCCACCTCCACGGGCCATTCTCTTCTACAGTCACAGGAAAAGCACCATCACCTTCCGGAGGTGACGTGCACATTCTTCAGCAGGGAAGAGAATGGGCAGATGAAGTTTAAGACTCCACCAAACCACAGAGATGCCTGCTGCACTCCCTGAACCGGTGAGTGTCCAGAGTGTCGGAGCATCAGCAGTATTGACATCAGAATGCATGCAGCAGTAGGTTTTGAATTGTAAATACTTTTGATTGAATTGAATGTAATTATTTTTAAAAACATTTTATTATTATGTGTGCATGGGTATTTTTTCTGTATGTATTCTGTGTACCATGTTTATGCAGTGCCTGTGGAGGCCAGAAGAAATCCCCTGGAACTGGGGTTACAGATGGTTGTGAGCCCCCAGGTGGGCACTGCAGATCAAACCCAGGTCCTCTCTGGAAGAGCAGCTAGTGCTCTTAACCACTAAATCATCTTTCCAGCCCAGACTTTAGTATTTCCAAAGTTCTCTTTTTGTGGTGCAAGGGATGACACCTAGGGCCTCAGACATGCTAGTTAAGTATTCTACTACCACGTCACATCCCCAGGACTACATATATTTGTTTTTATCTAGGTGTTTAGAATATAATTTTAGAGAATTTTCAAAGGCATTTTATTTGGAAATGTTTGAAATATCAAATTTTTTGGTGTTTTTTTTGTTTTGTTTTGTTTTTGTGGTTGTGGGTCTGTTTCAAGAAAGGGTTTCTTTGGTTAGCCCTGGCTGTTCTGGTACTAGTTCAGTAGACCAGGTTGATCTTGAACTCAGAGATCCACCTGCCTCTGCTTCCCAAGTGCTGGGATTAAAGGCATATGCCACTCCACCCAGCTATTGTATACTTTCTATATACTCTTGTTATCTGTAGTTCCTGAATAATGGAAACTTTAGTGACGTAAAAATATAAACTGGGGATAGAGAGATGAGGTTGCAGTTAAGAGTCTGGACTGCTCTTGCAGAGGATGTGGTTTGCTTCCCAGCCAGCACCCATACCAAGTGGCTCAAAAAACACCTGTAACTCCAGCTCCAGGGGACCAGACATACTCTTCTGGTTTCTGTAGGCATCAGCATCTGAGTGTTTTTATGTCAATTTGACACAAACTAGAGTCATATGAGAGAAGAATCTCAACTGAGGAAATGCATCTATAAGATCAGCAGAAGGTAAGCCTGTGGTGCATTTTCTTACTTAATGACTGAGAAGGGAAGGCCCAGCCCACTGTGGGTGGTGCCAAACCTGGGCAGATGGTCCTGGGTCCAGGCTGAGCAAGTTATAAGGAGCAAGCCAGTAAGCAGTACTCCTGCATGGTCTCTGCATCAGCTTCTGCCTCCAGATTCATGACCTGCTTGAGTTCCTGCCCTGACTGGGTTTGATGAACTGTGATGTATAAGTGTACGTAAAATGATCCATTCCCCACCCAAGTTGCTTTTAGTCATAGTGTTTCATCACAGCAATAGAAACTAAGACAGAGATTGGTACTAGGGTTGTGAGGTATTACTATGACAGACTGGACTCTATGTTTTGGTAGGATTGTTGAAGAACTTTGGAACTTTGGGCTGGAAATGACAAAGCCTGGGTAGGTATTCTGTGGGAGCTTGGAAGACAAGAGTGTTGAGAGAAACGCAAATGATGGAGGCCTGTTGGTGCAGTTCAGAGGTAAGTTTGTTGTTCTGAATTACAAATGCATGGTTTCTGGTCAGCTGGAGCCGAAGAATCAGCTGTGATTAACAAGAGACCTATACCACCGAAGTGAAACCTTTGCTTTAATTGAATAATTGATACTAGTTAGCCAGAGCAGAAAAGCAGGTGGTGATTAAGATGAGACCAGCATCATCGAGGCAAAATCTTCTGGGAAGTGTTTCCTCAGGGTCAACACACAGAAGCTCTGTTCCAGAAGGGACTGAGGTTGTATCTCATGCTGGCAGCTTAACTTCATCACGTCTAAGAGTCCCCCCAGATGGTATTGGTTTGAAGTCATGAAGGGGTCATGGAAAGCAATTGAGGCTTGGCCATGTGAAATGTCAGGATAGGCCATTGTTGAAGGTGCAGCCTCAGTACAGTTGAGGCCCCAGAATTAAAGGGGTTATTCGGAGAAGTTGAAGAAGCTTGTTACTATGAATAGAGTACAGGAGAGGCTATTGGTGAAAGTGCAGCCTGGTTGCAGCAGGAAGCCCCAGCATTTTGGAGATGCCAGCACCATGAGATGACCACTAAGAATAACAGCAGCTGAAGAGGGGAGCCAGCCTAACCCTGGAAGACAAGTTGCGTGTGCTATGGATGGCTGTACAAACCCTCTGGAGGAGCCCAGGAGATTGGGAGTGAATTCTGGACACTGGATTACTGAGTTATTTACTGAGTTTGTGCACAGGGCATGAAGTCCTCCTGCTTACAGATAGTACTAGAGAAACCAGGAATGCTACACATGCAGGCTTTTCTCTCCAAAAGAAGGAATTTACACCTGTCTTCCACCCAGAAGGTTGGGAGTGATGTTGTTAATAGTCTGGCGATCTTTGCTGTTCTGTAGAATCCCCAGACTCCATAGAATCCATTCGTATGAAAGAAGTCCCAAGTACTTTGCAAAGGAGTTTACTATTGTGCTTACTGCATCCTCTTCCTGCTAGGTCCTGACCCTGAGCACTGCTTCTCAGTCAACAGAGCCCATCCTTACGAAAGAGCTCACAGGGCTTTGCAAAAGAGATGTGCTTTGCAAAGGAGTTTCCATGTGGTCATGCCCTGAGCTTTGTTGCGATAACTATCATGAGGAACTTTTCCCCAGAGCTGTACTGGGCTTTAATATGTCAGAAATAAACCGCTTGGGGTCAGACTCTGGACGTTTGGACTAGCCCAGCTAACTAAGTCATGCTGAACTGGGTTTCCTTCTTGCCTTGGGTGGATCATTCCTCTGTCAGCTGTAGCATCTGTAGGGACCCCCACAAATTTGGGATTATGCTTTGGGTCTTCTCTCTTCAAGTAAAAAAGTATTTATTTATTTATTTATTTATTTATTTATTTATTTATTTATTTATTTATTTATTTTGTAGGAGCCCACAGCTGAGAGACTTTAAATATTTTTGCTTTTTTTGTTTGTTTGTTTTCTAGACAGGGTTTCTCTGTGTAGTTTTGGTGCCTGTTCTGGATCTCGCTCTGTAAACCAGGCTGGACTCGAACTCACAGAGATCTGCCTGGCTCTGCCTCCCGAGTGCTGGGATTAAAGGCATGCGCCATCACCACCCAGCTGAGACTTTAAACTTTTAAAGAGATTTTGGAGTTGTATAGAGACTAGACTTTTTAGGGAAACTTTGGATTTTAAAAGGGACTGTATATTTAAGAGAGACAATTTTTACAGTGTTTGAATTTGTAAGGACTGTGGGACTTTTAAAGTTATTTGTATTTTATATTGCAAAATTAATATTAACATGTCTTTTCTTGGGAACAAATGAGAAAGGAAATGTTCTAGTTAAAAGTGATGTGTTTGTGTATCAAGCTGACTAGGGATCAATTAGCTGGGGTTTTTTTTGTTTTTGTTTTTGTTTCATTTTGTTTTTTTAATGTCAACTTGACAAAAGCTAGAGTCATCTGAGAGGAGAGAAACTCAATTGAGAAACGGACTCCATAAGATCTAGCTGTAGGAAAGCCGGTAGGGCATTAATTAGTAATTGATGGGAAAGGGTACAACTCACTGTGAGGGGGGCAACCCTGGGCAGGAGGTCCTGGGTTCTATAAGAAAGCAGGCTGAGCAAGCCATGATGAGTGAGCCAGGAAGCAGCATCCTTCCTTCCATGGCCTCTGGGTCAGATCCGAACTCCAGGTTCCTGCTCTGCTTGCCTTTAACGATGAACTGTGATAGGAAGTACAAGCAAGATAAACCCTTTCCTCCCCACTTGCTTTTGGTCATAGTGTTCCATCACAGCAATAGTAATCCTAACTAGGACATGTACACATACTCATGTACAGACACTCACAAGTACACATAGTTAAAAATAAAAACAATTCTTAAAGTACAAACTAGTACATAGAAATGAAAACCAGGATTAAAAAGCAAGGAAAAAATTAATAGCAACAAACATTTGATACACACATGTTGATAGCGTGCTGGGTATGGGGCTGAAGCCACACATCCCAGAACTTGAGAGGCAGAGGCAGGAGTTCACAGTCAGCCTTGGCTATCTGAGTTTGAGGCAAACCTGGGCTACATAAGTCCCTGTCTCCCTCCTCACCGCAAAAACCCAACCAACCAACCAACCAACCAACCAACCAACCAACCAACCAGTTCATAAGCTTTCGGGCCTGGCACATACAAGATGTTTAACTCTGCCACTCAGTGATGTCCCCAGACCTCTAGCTTTTAAAGAAAAATGAAATTAAAAATGTAAGGAACACTGAAGTTATTGTATCTTTATCAAACTACAAATTCTTCCATTTGAAATTTTATTCATGGCATTGTGTTAAGATAGGGCAGTCTTAAAATTTAACTGCAAAAGGATGTCTTTAAAAATATCTGTGTGCGGGCACACTGTGTGTGCGTGAATGCTTGCTGTCGATTGAGTGTGGAGGTCAGAGGACCACTTTCGGAGTCCGTTTTCTCTTTCCACCATGGGAATCTCAGTGATTGAACTCGGGTCATCGGGTTTGGCACCAAGCCCCTTGACCTGCTGAGCCATCTTGTTGGCTCAAGGGAGTCTTTTAAATACCTGGTTCGGCGACCAGAACAGAATGGCGAAGAAGGGACACTTCTGCACACCTGAGTGTGATCAGTGGCACGACTGTGCACTGACACCAGGTTTTAAGACACCTTAACCTTCTGCCAGTAGGAAAGGATTTGACATTACAATCCTCTCCTTTTCTTGTGGAGTATAGTTCACATGACACACTACCCCAACAGAGTAAATCCCAAACATGAATTACCACACTGTCAGGCGACTCCAACGCCCTCTGCTGCTCTGCCACTATGCTGTGATCAACCACCTCAGACAGGTCTTCCTGAAATGTAAAAATACAATCAATTAGCAACATTACAGGTCTCAACTGCACCTTCCACCTCTGGCAGTCACCTGGGCTTTGGTCTATCTCAAAAATGACCCCAAACAGCACATATATTTTCTCTATCCCCTACCTGGATGAACCTGCATAAGTGAGCTCAGGCTAATCCTATCAGATATTCTTTGATGGTCTTCTCTATTACACTAGCTTTCCTAGATCTGAGTTGATGCTGAATATGAAATCACTCCCAGGGTTCAATTCCGAATATTAGAATCCCCTACTCCACCTTTAAGATGCTTATCTAGAGGCTAAGCGCACACCTGATAGAGACACTGAGAAAGAAAGGTAAGTTAGTCTTCAGACTGACACACAGACATGTCAACTGAAATGTTGGCCAGAGTGTGCATGTCTGTATCGACATGTTTCACCCTTTGTGTAGGTGAATTTAAGGCTAAAGCATCATTTGATGGTTTAGGTTAAGGCATGAGCTCCTGCAACTTGGCTTGGACAAGGCAGGGACAACAAAGAGAGCAAAGAGATGTTGATTTGGGTGTGTTTGTGCTGGCACTCAGGGGTGCTGTGCAGTGTCGGGGAGCAGGAAATGAGAACAGGGTGGCTTGTGCCATGGAGTGTTAGGAGTTTGTGATCCTAGTTCTTTGACTCAAGTAAATCTGAGTCTGTACTTGACTCTTCCAGCCTTAATTCCCTGCATAAATTATAAATGGGTATGTGTGGGTGTTAGGTCTCAAACCTGGGGTGAACAGATAACCGAGGTGCCCTATTAATGTATCAAAGCTGATGCTGGCAGCCAGGTTCTCCCAGCACCCTTCAGTCCCTACCTGTAACAGGGTCCTCTTGGCTAGCATACCCTCCAACACACATGCACACGTGCGTGTACACACACACACACACACACACACACACACACACACACACACACACACACACACACTTCTCCAGCCCAGAAACTGGGCTGGGCTGCCCTTCCCTGAGCTGCTCTTCCCTATATAACCCAGATATTTTGGCTACTTCCAGCCCTTTTTACCTCTTGGCATCTTGCTCTCTTGGCCACTCTTCCTGGTTCCCTTCCTTTGCTCTCCCTTCTCCTCAACCTGGCCTGGTTCAGTCTGTTGGTCAAGTTCACTCTGAACTCTCCAATGTCTCTGTCTCTGCCTGTTTTCTCCTTTGCATCTATGACAAAAACTTCAACCCCTTAGTAGCAGTCATGTCCTTCTCTTTCTTTTCTTTTCTTCCTTATTTCCTTCCTTCCTTCCTTCCTTCCTTCCTTCCTTCCTTCCTTCCTTCCTTCCTTCTGTAATCTCACTATGGGATGTGATTAGCCAGCCTGCCTCCATCTTGGGCTTGAAAGTTATGATAAAGACAAAATTGATTCTTTCTTGTTTATTATTAAATCTGTTTCTCAAAGATTGAGCAATGCCCCACCTGTAACCTTAACTACAAATGGTTCTGTACTGCCTGTTCCAAGGAACAGCAATCATACCTTTGTTTCAAAAGGTTATATGACCAACTGTTGTTAAGACCATCTCGTATGTTCTGCTTCTGTAACCCCGCCTATTTGACTGACAACCCCCCCATTTAGAACCCTCCTATCCCGAGCTATAAAATCCTTATTTTGCCCATGTCCAATGCTGACCTCTTGAACCCAGTCATATGTGGATGAAGCCTGTGTACAAGAATGAAAACAAACAAACAACCTTGCTTTGATTATTCTGGCCATGATGATTTGGGTCAGTGGTCTTTCTCCTTTGGGATTAAGAGACGTTGAAAAGATTGAACAAAGTGATCCCATAAATGGATTTCCCATGGTACCTAGCAAATACCCAGATCCACTAAAAACACTCACAGTGACAGTGAATGGAACTAAATGATGCTGGCCTCATGCTCTCAACTGTACCACCAGACTCTATCAGCCAGTCAGTGATCTGCATAGGATCCCCACTCTGGGTATATTCACATACCCGTTCTTCCACAGCCCCTATCACAGTTGAAGCCAAATAAGGCAGGATGTAAACCATCTCATCTCACCCATAGTCTCATCCTGGGTCATCCATTCTCTACTGGTTTACAGCCTGAGAGACTGAAGCTCAGCATGGATTTGCAGACAGCACCTAGGTCCTCCAAATAATAGGGACTATCCTTAGTCCCTTACTTTTTAGGGCCATAAGTATTTTACCCATTTAGATCTCTGCCATTCCCTTATGGGAAAAAGCACCTAGAATCCATTTCACCCAGCTCCCTGCACTTGGCTACGCAGTAGATTTTAGGATATAAGATGAATTCATAATTCACTTCACACCATACTTCTTTCCTGAGCCCTTGGCTAGTACCTTTCCCACAGCATGATCAATTTTCTGTACTTCCCCCACCCTGCCCTGTCTTTGTTTTTTTGAGGCAAGCTGTTTCTCTCTCTAAAAGGTTTTTCTTTAATATTTAGTGGAATAAAACATTATCTAAATGAGTACTAAATGCATCAAATATTAAGAATTTGATTTTAAGCTGGGAGGTGGTGGCGCATGCCTTTAATCCCAGCACTCGGGAAGCAGAGACGGGTGGATCTCTGTGAGTTCGAGGCCAGCCTAGTCTACAAATCGAGTTCCAGGACAGGCTCCAAAGCTACACAAAACAAACCCTGTCCGAAAAACAAAAACAAAAACAAACAAACAAACAAAAACAACAACAAAGAAAACAACAAAACAAACCAAAAAATTAACTCCCCCCCAAAAAAAACCCCACCACGACTACCACCACCACCAAAAACAAAACAAACAAACAAACAAAAAGAATCTGATTTTAAAAGCACTTAGGTAAGTTGCAGACAGGCCATCAAAGGATACATGTGAATGTGTGACTGTGGCCTCCACTGTGTGGCCTTCACAGGTGAGATAAGGGCATGGAAAGGTCAGTAACCCTGATGGGAAACTGCAGAGTAAAGCCCAGGCTGCATTATAAACAGGGACCGTGGGTGCTAGTCCTTCTAGTGCACGTCAAAAGCAAGTACTTCTGTCACCTTGACACTGCAAACCTGCTTTAACCATCCCCAGTCAACCAGTGAGGGACAACAAGGACGTCTTCTCCAGTGTCAGAAATATGAGTCTTCTCTATCCAATACTATAACAACTGTGTTTAGAACAATTGTGTTTAGAGCAATCTTTATCTTTCCTGCCTTGTAAGACTTTGATGCAAATATTCTAATGTTCCTCACCCAGTAAAACCTTTGTTTACTCAAAGGTCCACAGGTCTGTCTAGGAATTTGAAGGTCTGCAGCCCTTTTCCCTTTTTTCCATTTCCTGTGTGCCAATTATTTTCAGACTAGCCAACTGAATGAGCCCTTAAAGTCAGACCCCCATCAACGGGGAGAAGACACAGCTACCTCCTGAGGTAGAACAAAAACCCAATGCATTTCCTGTCTCTGTGAGTCCCCTCAGTATCTGAGTGCATCCTCTTGCCCAAGGGTATTGCCTGATCTAGACACTTTGGTCAGAAGTCGGCCTCTTTCTTTGTGACCTGAACTGGTTTCTAACATTAGCTATGGACCCAAAACCCCTAATTTACATATTTCTCAGAACAACTACTAATTTCATTTTCCCTTTTCTTAAACTGTTTTTACATTTATTTAGTGTGTGTGTGTGTGTGTGTGTGTGTATGTGTGAGCACTCAAGTGCATGAAGGTCAGAGGACTTGTGGAAGTTGGTTCTTTCTATTAAGTCCAGGGGTCAAACTCAGGTCATCAGGCCGGCCGGCCGGCACTCATACCAGTTGAGCTACTTGCTGCCCCTGATATTTCTTTTCTTTTCTCTTCCTCTCTTTTTTTTTTTAGATTTATTGAAAATACGACAACAAACGGTTGGTTCCACATGGTGTTTTGAAATTCATCCTCAACTGTAGGCTGAGTGACCTGCAGGTTGGAGAGGCTGCTGAAGTCCAGAAGCTTCAGCATTTTCTTGGTGTCAGGATCTACCTCAATGATCTCCTGATCCAGGGCTGAGACCTCAGGAACATAATTCTCTCCCCTTTCTCTCTCTTCCTCCTGCAACTTGATAGAGATACCTCTCACAGCACCTCTCTAAATCCTCTCCATCAGATATGTGTGACATAGCCAGCTATCTTGTAGGGGAGTTTCTTGCCAGGGATAATGGCATTCTCCTGGCACATGCACTTGTTAGCGTGGAAGTCATTACCCAGGTGCATGTAGTACTTCTCAATGAAGACCTGGGCTGCCTTCTTCAAAGTCTTGGTGTGAACTCGGCCCATGTTGATGGGTCCTGGTAAAAGAGGAAACAGCACCCCCTGATATTTCTTACATTTGCAAATAAAAAGGGCCAGAAAATATGGGTTCCAACTGGTTTGACTTCTGATTAGTAGGAGGAGGGTTTAGAAAGGTCCATTTACCCCTTTTTCTTTCAACAGTAGGAAAGTAGTAACAAGCTACCTGGAAAGGGGCTGGTGGGCAAGCCTGAATCCAACATCTGATTAGAGAGCAGGTATGCCGTGACAGCAGAGGAGCCCCAGTGCTTACCACCTTTTCCTACAAGTTGGAGGGATGATTATGGAAATGAATAATCACAAGGGAATGATACTGCATGGACCAGGGGAACGAAGAGGTACCAGGAAATCATTAGTTCCTGCATCTTCCTTCAAGGTCAGAAATGCAACAGGATGGCATGATGAAATGTGATGTGTGGTTCAGCACACCATCTTATTCTTACACTGACTACCTTAAACTTCCGGCTGAAGGGATAGGGGCTGTGCAGAATGAGAGTGCCAACTATGACAGTTAAAGCTATCAACTACTGACTATATGCCAGTTTCGGAGCTAGTCATGCTGCGTGTTTGTTGATGTGCACAATGGGCTTGTGTTAGATACTCTCAGGTCCGTTTTAGACTGGGTGTCGGGGTGCATATGCAATCCCAGTACCTGGGGTGACAACACACACAGAGTTTAAAGTCATCCTCAGCTATATAGTGAGCTGAAGGCCAGTCTGGGCTACAGGAGACATTGTCTAAAACGAACCAAAAACAAAACAAAACCCCCAAACTCCGTCATCTGTTTTCAGAGTCTGAGTGACAGAGGCAGAGAAGACACAGTAGTACTAAGCCGGAACCCAAGCAGATACAGCTGGCTCTTAATCAAGGCACCAACCATGAGGGAAAGAGAGTGCACTCTTTGCCAGAAGGTCCTCAGTCTTGCAGAGAGACTCTGTACTTAGATCTGCTACCAGGTCAGAACAAGGTGTACTTGTTCGTTTCTAACCTGAGATTTCAAAGAAGACAGAAGCACTTCATGGCCCTGCAGCGGCACGGGTTCCTTCCCTTGGCATACACACTGGCTTGGAGCTGGCTCACCTTCCAGCCACTGCACAATGGAGCTCTGTTCTAAGACGCTGACTTCGCAGCTTAGCTCCTGAAACAAATGGACACAGCACATTTGGTTGGCACCGAAGGCCTCAGCACAGCATGGGAGCTCCTAATGGACACTGTTTATGCAACAAAGGCACATGGATCAGCAGATGGTACTTCAGAGGGTTAGTTGTTAAGGCCATATTGGATTCTCCTAGATGCCAGTTACGATGGGAGGCAGGTCTGCCTGCAATCCTCAAGGCAGCCTGACTCCTCCTCTTAGTTACCTCCCACTGTTGTGAAGAGGCACCAGGACCAAGGCAACTTCTAGAACAAAGTTTTTTAGGGCTTGCTTACAGTGTCTGAGGCCGAGTCCATGAGCACCATGGCATGAAGTATGGCAGCAGTTGGGAAGGCATGGTGCTGGAGCAGGAGCTAAGGCCTAAATTTGATCCACAGGCAGGGAGACAGAGACAGACAGGGAGAGGGAGAATGAGGAGACAGCAAGAGAGAGGAGACAGTAAGAGGAGGACATCAAGAGTGCTGTGAAAATGGTGTGGGCTTTTGAAACCTCAAAGCCTACTCATGACACATCTTCCAACAAGGCCACACCTCCAAATACTTCCCAAATAGTTCCACCAATGGGTACCAAACATTCAAACACCATTCTCATTCAAATCACCATACTCCTGTTCTGCAACTAGGTAATTAAAGCGCCCCTTCTCTATGGACACAGTAACGGACTAAGGGTAGACATTGGGATCAAACAAGAACAGAGATCTTCAGATTCTAGTGACTCAAGGGAGGAGACGTCAGCTCTGTCTGGCAGAGGCTTAGCCCCAGGAGTGATGTGCACACCCTGCTGGGGAGGGGGGGTATCTGCCTGATGAGCACAGCTGAGACACCCCTGGCACCAACTGTTCCTGAGCTGAATGATAATTCCATCCCAGCAGTGACTACAGGTGACATGGACAACATCTGCAGCCTTTAAGTGAATTTCTACTTTTGGCTATGTAAGGTCACTAAAGACTCCCATAGCACGCAAACTTTTCTTTAAAAAAATTTGTTAAACTTGAGAGAAACTATCCCTAGCCCACATATTTATGTTTCACAGTTCAGGAACACAGTTCAGTGGCAAATGTCGATGGAGCTCAACCCAAAGGAATTCTTTTTTTTTTTTTTTTTAAGATTTATTTATTTATTATGTATACAGAAGAGGGTGCCAGATCTCATTATAGATGGTTGTGAGCCACCATGTGGTTGCTGGGAATTGAACTCAGGACCTCTGGAAGAGCAGTCAGTGCTCTTAACCTCTGAGCCATCTCTCCAGCCCCCTAAGGAATTCTTTACATTCCAAAGTGAGTTTGTACACTGAAAGATACCAGCCCTCCCCACTGCCTCCGAATCTTTCCTAGAATAATTGCTGTGGAAATCTGTGTTCTCCTCTCTTGGTTCTGCTAGAGCTAAAGGAAGTGACAACTCCCAGGGTGACAGAACTGGCTCCGACAACACAAGAATGAAGACGCTCAGCTGGGGTGTCACCAAAACACCAAGAGGAGTAAATGTCTTTCACAGCAACTGTCCCAGGCTATTAGAGAATGGACCCCAACTGTCCTTTTAATATTTATAACACCAAGAATATCTGGAGGTGGGGTCTGGATGTGTTAGAAGGTCAAATTCTCAGTCTCCCAAGTTGAGTGTGATATGTATATTCATGAATGTGTGCGGTGTGTGCATGTCTGAGTATGCATGCAGAGGTCAGAGGTCAATCTTAGGTTTGTTTGAGGCAGGGTCTCCTTGTCGCTGCATATGCCAGGCTAGCTGGCGTAAGAATGTCTGGGGATTTTCCTTCTCTACTTCCCATGGGATTTGAACTCAGATCCCCATGCTTACAGAGCAAGCACGTGACCCACTGTTCCATATTTCCAGTCCTAATAATCACTTCTTTAAAGTTGTATTCAATCCTCTCTGTGCCACTTCTCTCTCTCTACCTCAGTTTTATCTATAAAATGGGTTAATAGTAGGGTTGATCTCAAGTAAAACATGGGTTAATATTAGGACCAACCTAAAAATGGTTTCACTCTCCCATACAGTATGGAGTAGAGTGATGCTTTTCAGAGTACACAGTGAACACTGCAAACATTAGCCCGCCACTACTCTCAGCAGTTCTGGAAGCTCCTGGGTAGAGCGGGCCATGGGCATTACGGTCAGTGATGTGCCCAGGACACACAGGTCTTTGGTACAAATGGTCTACATCGGAAAGATTCTATGGACTTACAGTTTCCTTTGAAAGACACCACAGCCTACACAGGTGTTAGCTTCCGGAGTCTTAATATAATACCAGCAAGCAAGGCTTCTCCAGGAAGCTAATTCTCCCTCACAGGCCAGTGCTGAGCAGTACTGCTTTCCAAGAAGCCCAGGCCTCAGTCAGCCCCTGGTATGGGCAAGGCAGCTGAGTTCTGTGCCCTGCCCTTTCTCCATTTAGAAAAAAAAAATGTTGCTAACAAGTGATTCCTTCCATGTAAGCACAAGTTCAAGTGAAGTCTCCTCAGTGGGCCAGTCACTCACTGGGCAGGAGGAATGGGGTGAACTCACTGGGCAGGAGGAATGGGGTGGGGTGAGGTGGAGGTGAGCAAGAAGTGTAAACCAGTGTTAAAATGCCCCCCCCCCCCCCCCCGCAGCTTCCATCCTTGCATTCATGAAGTTGCCTGCCTTGTTGTTCTTCTGTCTCTGTGGTTTCCATTACCATACAAGAGGGAAGGGGATGAATGAAAAAGCCAAAAGCTTTTTCTTGCATGTCCATGAAATAGATTTGATTAGAAGTCCACTGTCATTTTTATGACTAGGAAAAGGGAAATTCATCATCTGAGCAAATCCCAAGTCGTCTCTGAGATGGAGATATAAAGAACAATGAGCTGTGAAAAATGTCACACATCTGAATGCACTTGAACTCCACATCGGCAATGTGCGCACTGTCAAAAGAGAGGGGCCAGTGCTGGCTCAGCCGGTCTCCTGTTCCTCACAGAGAATCTCCAGACCCTTGCTGTGGATGCCATTTCTATGGTGGATCTGGACAGGAATGATGATGTGCACAGTCACATCTGTTGGAAATACCAGCCAGGAAGTCAACTCACACACCTACACTCACTAGAAAATCACGTAGGATTATGTGCCACAGTTGAGTGTCAGTTCCAAAATCGGGGGAGAACTTTAAGCTCAGCAGCCCCACTTGATAAACAACAACAGAAAGTAGAAACAAAGACAGACTTCCAAAGTGACCACGGCATCGCCTCAGCACATTTTCTCCCTCCTACCCCCTTCCTCTTTAAAGTTAGCCAGTCCCAGCCTCTCAGGATCAGGTTTAAAGCACAGGCAGCCTTTTCTCGTTCCCTCCTGTCTGTTCATCTAACTGTGTGCAGTGCTCTCTTTAATCCAGGGACGAAACGTGAAACGAAGAGGACTTTTCTCAGACAGCAGTTTCAACAGGCTGTGAAACTCTGGAAGTGACCTTTGGGGATGCAGCTGGTTTTCCAGAGGACAGCAAGAGAGACTGAAGCGAGACTAGGTGGAGGGTGGGGGATGTAGCTCGGTGCATGAAGTGTCTGTTGTGTGTCTGGTGTTTGATGCCCCAGAACCTACATAAAAATTGGGCAGAGTGGTGCACACTTGAAATCCCAGCTCCAGGAGGCAGGGATAGCTGGATCCCAGGGGCTAGGGACTGACCAGGGAGTCTCCGGGCCAGTGAGAGAATGCCTCAAAAAACAAGGTAGATGGTGCCTGAGGGAGAGACTGGAGGCTGACGTCTGGCTCCCATCCCCAACATGTGCACCCTCCCCCCACCACACAAAGTAATATTAGGGTGTAATACACGAACCTGGAGCCTTGTAAGTGAGGAATGATTATCAGCACGAGGCTAGCCACCATGTGTTATTATCAAAAAAAGGGCCATCTAAAATGAAGAATTTAGACAGGATACAGTGGACATGACATTGATTATAGACTGAGCTTTGTGAAGAACTCTTTGGTGGTCACTCTTCCTGTTTCCTAGTAACTGTGGGCAGGAGAGTGCTTCGTTGGGCTCTCAAGTCTGGCAGTGCCCGGCATGGTGTCTCTCCTCACAGGTTAGGTGTGGTCTGAAAAACTGACTTCTGCTCTTCCAGGCCAACACCACGTCTGAGAAGCATTGTGGCTCACGCTGCCTTCCAGACTTCAACATCAGTGAGTCGGATAGAGAAGGGTTCGATCCTTACTGCAGGTGTGGGCACTTTCAGCGATGCGGACAAATGAGGCAAGTGAAGGGCTGGGAGAATGGGGAGGCTGCAGGGGAAAAACAAACTGGAAAGGCAGGTGGACTGCTCACCCACCTGCAAAGAAAACCTGGGAAGTGGGATTTGTGTATAAAAGCTCCATACAGAGGAGCCCCATCTGTAGTTATGGAGCCGTGGACAATGACGGCTGCTGGCAGAGGGGAGTCAGTGTCCTTTAAGGGTCTGGGCTCTGTAGGTCAACCACGCTCCATTGAATGGCCACACAAACTGGAGCCGATGGGTTAGTAAGTTAGAGGGGGGTGAGTGTTCTGGAATATTTGTTTAACTAGGCAAAGATGTGTTACATTTGTTTATGCTGCATCTGTTTAACTACGTAAAGATGTGTTGCGTTTGCGTTGAATAAATAAAATTAATCTAGGCTCAGAGAGGTGGGGTTAGCAACTAGTTGACAGGAAGTAGAACGGAGGAGCGTATCATGGGTTTTCAGTTGGGGCGGTGTAGGAGAGTGGCTTTTAGGACACCAGCTAAGAGAGAAAGTCAGCCAGTCGCTACTCTCCCAGCTCGCAGGTTTCCACTCTAGCCTTTGAGTTGAAGTTTTATTAGAACAACAGAGATTTAGTTAAAGCTGCCTTTAGCACAGCAGCAGAGCCATTGTCTGGGGGAACAGATTCCCCCCAGGCTACGGCCTCAGCGGCTGGCTGCTAGTGTTAAAGGCACAGCCACTGCGAGGAATTCAACCAGCAGACAGCAGAAATAAGGTTGGCCTCAGGGAGGTGGGGACGAATCTGGGAGGAGTTAATGGGTGGAGGTGAGGGGGAGTATAATCACAAAACACAATGAAATTCTCAAGGAATTTATAAAATTACATATTTAAAAAATTAAAAGCTTCTATGTCTAAAACTTGGCTTGACCCTCTTAGGAACACTGTACTGACCAAAGGAAAGACCTTTGCTGGGTGGTCAGGCCCCTGACACCAATGTGAGCTCTGTTTTGGATCAAGTTGTACTTCTGAATCTGAATGATTTTTTTTTAATTTATTTGTTTGTTTTTTAATGTATATGAGTGACCTGTCTTCAGGGACACCAGAAGAGGGAATCAGATCCCATTATAGATAGTTGTGAGCATGTAGTTGCTCACAGGACCTCTGGAAGAGCAGCCAGTGCTCTTAACCGCTGAGCCATCTCTCCAGGCCCTGAATGATGTTTTATGTGTTCTTCTTAGAGAGTCATGCTACAGCTTCTAAGAAAATGCAGGCTGACAAATGAGGGCGTTGGGGCACTTGGATTTTACCTAGGCAGAATCTGGTATTAATGCTAGCTGCTTCAGACTAAGCCTTGCTTCAGGCAAGTGCTGTTGAGTTTCATGTGCAGAATCTACTCAATCCCCACAACAAAGAGGCAGCAGATAGGCAGGCTTGGAGGAGGAGTCAGATGGGCAGTGTGAGCCTTTTCAGAGCCCTTGACTGGAGGAGGAAGATTCAGGTCTTTACAGACTCAGGCTCTTCGTTTGTACCTGACAGTGCTGGCATTTGGAAACTGATCTTCCCTGAAGTGTGTTTGCAAAGCTTACGTGGGCCAGGCATTTGAAGGCAGGGAGCAGGGTGCTCCTAAGATCCAGGCAGCCCAGTGGATGAAACCCTGAAGTGGTGAAATGAGCTGCTGGCTTCCATTTGAGTTTTCATACCACAGACTACTTAGGTCAGTTGAAAGTTGATTCCGGAAACAGCTTACACTTCCCCAGGCATCTTGGTACCCTATAAATTCTAAAATCACCACAGAGAAATTCCAGGTTGTATGCCACCTTGCTACCTAGAGTTCTCCCACTTCTCTATTTTGTGCTAAGGGTCAGACAATAGTAGCAACGAAGGCCACTGACAGCATGAAAACAAATCAAACCAAAAATCTGAAACAACTTTTAAAAAACTGCGAGAAATGGGAAATGTTATGGAGGCTGTATATGTGAACCATGAACTAAGTTTGAAAGACCAGGCGTCACTTGACACACACCTGCATTGTTGCTAAGTAGTTTCACAAAACAGACCGTTGTGAGCTGCCATGTGGTGCAGGAATTGAACCCAGGTCCTCTGGAAGAATAGCTAGTGCTCTTAACTGTTGAGCCATTAAAATTCACCTCTTTAATGACCTGTTTCTATCTCAAAATTTTCCGATGTTTGGAGTTGATGATTTAGAGGAGAGAGAGAGAGAGAGAGAGAGAGAGAGAGAGAGAGAGAGAGTGTAGATCAGAGAATGATCCTCGTGGTTGGTGGACTTTGGTTTCATTGTGTCTGCATCTTTGTGATTGGCACTATTACACAGTGCTTTAGAGAGCAGCCTCCCAGCTGGGTGGTTTTAGGCAACTTGGTTCATGTTTCAGCATCTCAGTTCCCTGTCTCTTACTACTGCTTTCACAGGTGAGCTTAGAGTAATTCCTCTTCCCCACCCTTCCTGGAGCAGCAGTACCAGCTCTTGGCCTTGGACACCAGCGCCCCAGGATCTCCAGCGTGTGAATCCCACAACTTGTCCCAGTGACATCCCTGGGTCTAAGGCCTTTGGACTTGGCTTCTATGGTTCTTCAGCTTACAGACAACCCATTGTGGGGCTTCCGAGACTCTGCGGTCAAGTAAGTCAGTTTCCCTGGTACCCTCCCTCACACACCCATCTTACTCATCTTTCTCCCTGGAGAACCATCAGTAGGTTAGAGCTTTCATTCTGGGGGTGAAAAGTGCACTCCACCTTTCCAAGTTGTACACTAACCACGCTGAACACAATCCTTTCATTACCACCTGCTAATGCTTTAATAAGAATTACAAAATCAACATCACCTCACTTGGGGATTATGAGGACAGGGTATGGTGTCTCATATTTGTAATCCCAGCATTTGGAAGGCTGAAGCAGGAAGATCATTCTGAGTTTGAGACTAGTAAACACTGGAGCCAGACTCCTTGGATCCAAACCCCGGTTCTACCCTTTACTAGGAATATAAACTGAGGGGATAAAGTTATGTGCCACCACAACAGGCTAAGGCCAAATTCTTAACATTTTATACGAGCCGGGAGGTGGTGGCGCACGCCTTTAATCCCAGCACTCGGGAGGCAGAGGCAGGCGGATCTCTGTGAGTTCGAGGCCAGCCTGGGCTACCAAGTGAGTTCCAGGAAAGGCGCAAAGCTACACAGAGAAACCCTGTCTCGAGAAAACAAAAAACAAAAAACGAAAATATTTTATACGAGACCATTTATATAATGCTAAAAATGTGTCCAAATTCAGGTTATCTTTCTTCTCTCAGTTAGACCATGGATAGGTTCTACTGGGAATGATGACAGAAATTTTAGAATACCAGAAAACGAGGAAGATGGGAAGGGAAGGAAAAAAGGGGAGAGAGACATAACAAGAGAGGGGACCCAGTTTTTCTCGGATGAGTTGATATCTAAAAATAAGCCCAGACTAGGCACATATGTAGTACTCAGACATACATGCAGGCAAAATACACACACACACACACACACACACACACACACACACACACACACACACACATATATACAATTTTAAAATGAAGTTCTATACTTCAGGCCTCTTAAGTTGTCTGTGAACCAACTCTTCACTATTGGTGCCTAGGAGCAGAGTGCATAAAGAATGGTTTTTCTCTGCAGCCTCCAGGAGAGCCTTGTGGGTATGATCAGACTCTTCAAGAAATAAGAGGATGCCCCCCTCCCCTCCCTCCTTCTCTCCCATTTCTTCTGGGGATTGATTTGAGGGCTGCTAGAGAAATGATGTTGCTTTAAAATACTTTCCTTTAATGCAGTGGTTCTCAACCTGTGGGTCAGGACCCCTTTGGGGTTGCATATCAGATATTTACATTATGATTCATAGCAGCAGCAAAATTACAGTTATAAAGTAGCAACGAAATAATTTTATGGTTGGGGGTCACCACAACATGAGGAACTGTATTAAAGGGTCACAGCATTAGGAAGGTTAAGAACTGTAATGTATCCATAGTGACACAGTATCCCAAAGAATAAGTTAACCTGTATTTAAATGAATGGCCCTTCAGTGCAGATGTGCATTGTCTCTTGGAAGAGGAGCAGGGGTCCCCATGTGTTATTATTGCTCCCCTTGATACTGGGAGTCTAGGGTCCCAAGAGGTTCGCCCAACTGTGGTCTGCTACAATTTCTACTCTTGCTGGTGTAACCTTTTCTTTAAGCCTGAATAAATCAGTTCACTTAGTTGGAGATAAAATCTAAGCAGTTCCGACTCATATTTTTTCTAAAAGCTGAAAGAAGATAAAGAAATGGATGACATCTCAAACTCCTTCAAGTAAAATAAAACCTCAGGCAGATTTAAAATCATCTAAGTGGTGGACTTCTGGAGGTCTACAGACATTTGAAACACAGAGGGGCAGGGAAGCAACGACAACCAAAACCAACCCCATTCCTTTCTGACAACTGCAGTCCAACTTTGGAAGTGATGGGCTACAAAGCAGAAAGCACATCATGAAAAAAGGCATGGATACAGAGAGCATGCGCACAAAGCAGCCATTGCCCTTATTGGTGAATAAGTTACCACTCTCCCAGAGGCAGAACACAGCACAGAGCTTGGTTTAAAGCAGATGATTAAACAACAAGATATCCTGTGCACCTGGTAGGGGAGCCACACCTTCCCTCATCTGGGGCGACTAAGTATCTTTTACTAGGAATCTAAGACACCATCTCCTCCTGTGTGGCTAAGATTCCTTCAGTCCAGACCCTGGAGATACCCAGGGCTGGACTGGATTGGAAGGAGTGCTCAGCTGCCGCTGTAGTCCTAGACAGCACAGCTCCAGTGTGGTGGGGGCGGCAGTGTGCAGGGAGAGCCACTCACTTGCTGAGTGGAAAGCCCTTCCTGTCTCAGAGCTCAAAGAACCTAGTGGCCAAGATAAGAGGCAGCCAGTCCTTCCTCTAGGGGGAGTGAGTGCAAGCCCTGAGCCCTCCCAGTCTAGGATTCTTACCGGTTTGGGGCTTTCCGTGTCAGGCAGGTGTTTAACGTCCACATTGCTGTCTTCCTCACTACTGACAGGTTCAGTGCTACCCAGATCCTGTGGGACAGTAAAAGAAAAGCAAAAAAGATGTCATTCTTTATTCACTCTGTCTCAGACCACACACACTGCACAGCTGTGGGTGCAGTGTTCCTAATGCTATGTGGACACCACTTCTGCAGAAGCCATCCTGCCACCTCCATTAGGCCAGCAGACATGTCTGTCCATTTGCTCTATTGGCACTGATTCCGGCTGCCTGTAGTATTCCTCAGGAAAGCCAGTCCCTGCTCTGTCCTAGGCACAGGCCTGGCTGTCTCAGGTCAGTTCCCTTCTTCTTGTCAACAGTTTGTCAGGAACAGGAACCTGGACAATGAACTTTGTCAGTTCTGGTAACAAGACTAAGAAAGATGTGCTGAAGGCTTGCTGGGAGTTCTTTCCTCATCTTTGGCTCTCTTTTCTTTGTATTTTACTAATTAGCTGGATGTTTATGTCCACATATTCAGTTTTCACAAGCCAATAGACACTGAAAAATTATTTCTCCCACAGAACTGTAATTCTATGCGCCTAGATAAAGCATATCGTTGAACTGATGTAGTCACTAAGATACATGATGTCTCAGGGTTTCTATTGCTGTGAAGAGACACCCCGACCACGGCAACTCTTAAAAAGGAAAACATCTCATTGAAGTGGGCAGCTTCCAGTTTCAGAGGTTTAGTCCACTATCATCATGGCAGGCAGACATGGTGCTGGAGAAGGAGCTGCTACATGTTGATATGCAGGCAACAGGAAGTAGACTGAATATCACACTGAGCAAAGCTTAAGCATATAGGAGACCTCAAAGCCCACCTCCACAGTGACACACTTCTTCCAACAAGGCCACACCTACTCTAATAAAGCCAGACCTCCAAATAGTGCCACTCTCTTTGGGGGCCATTTTCTTTCAAACCACCACACGTGACCATTTATCAATAATGCAATAAAAGAAATGAATGAATATTTGAGAACTAAGTTACACCACTCAAAGGGCATATGAAATATCAGATGTCTGCTCAATAAGTAGAAACCATGACTTCCCTGTTTTTATAAGGCAGGTTGGGCAGAAGCAAAGGAGAGTGAAAACAGGCCAGGAAGGTGAAGCTGATGGAGGATAACAGGCTGTAAGGAGCCAGGGAAGAGAAGCTGCCAGCTCTGACCACTGGATGGGCCCCAAAGAGCTGTCCAGCCTATACAGCAAGGACCTGTCAACAAACCAACAACAAAAAGCCCCCAAAGAAACAAGTATTGGGTACAGTCATCCATCACAAAGTGATGTTTCAATGATGGACCATATACATAGTGGAGTTCCATGTCTTAGGGTTTCTATTGCTGTGCTAAAACACCAACCAAAAGTAACTATGGGGGGATGAAAGGGTGTGTTTCAGATCACATGTCCCAATCAAGGTCCATCAGTGAGGGAAGTCAGGTGGGAACTGAAGGCAGGAACTGATGCAGAGGCCGTGGAGGACTGCTGCTTACTAGCTCGCTCCTCATGGCTTGTTCTCACTTCAATCACTAAGAAAATGCTCTGCAGACTCGCCTACAGGCCAATCTACCGAGGACATTTTCTCAAAGTTCTCTCCTCCAAAAAAGACTCTAACCTGTGCCACTGACATAAAAACTAGCACATGCATCACACATTGATGGTGATGCTGGTATAAAACTACAGTGCCACTAGTCACATGAAAGTGCAGCAATACAATTGTGTCCATGCTTATTACTTGATTATACGATAGACAACTACTTACTGATTTACGTATTCATTATATTATACTTCATATTATCTCGTAAAATGTTTTTCTGTAAGACAGTGTACTATTCTGCCAGCACTCATGCGTCTCATGTTTACTGTTTCTCCAGAAACATTCATTAGCATCTCTTTTCCATCCTAATTATGTATGCGGGGAATCTGATGCCAACATCTGTGCTTCTTTCATGCCCTTTTGTCTGATGCTGTATTCATCCCTCCTGGGTCTGCCTCCCTTCAAAGGCCATGCTCCAAGCTGTACTACAGTCACAATTTAAACACTCTCTTCTGCTTTCAGTTGGACACACCTCCACTGAGGAAGACCTGAAGTCAAAATCCAAAAGGAATTGAGGATGGCTGGAGATGAGGCATTTACTTTCTAGGCAAGCTAAGGTTTACAAGTAGATTATGAGTGCTTAAACAATCCACGAACAAAATTGTACCTCCACTCTGAGAATTGAATGGTTCACAGGGCAAGGAGCCATTAAATCACCCCACTTGCCAAGAGCTTAAAACATGGCCAACAGTCAGAGACAGGAAGGCGGTCAGAAGCATGACTCTAAGGAACAAGGATCCCTGGTGGCTTGAGGACCATCTGGCTGAAGGAAAATGGCTACTGACAGGATGAGTCTGTTAATCCAGGGGGTAGGTGTCCACTTCTCTCTTGCTGATCTTCAAACCACCTGTTCAATGTGGCTGGCTTGGCCAAGGCTGCTCATGGCAACAATTCCCCAGGAAGACCAAAGTCAGGAAACACAGGAAGTCAGGACCATAGATGAGTAAATGGTAAAGGATCAACACAACATCACCCAAAGATGGTATAGGGGTGTGTGTGTGTGTGTGTGTGTGTGTGTGTGTGTGTGTGTGTCTCCCTGTATCCTATTAAGGACATTTTTTAGCACACCTTCTAAAATTCCAAACTTCTCTTCCTCTACTGGGTTCACTGGGAATCTCCTAAATAAGGTGATGATGGTTGTTTTTTCATTTATTTTAGTTTAATGTTTTAACTTTTTTTTAATTAGGGGGGGGGGGGGAATAGGGCTACACTGGGCTGGGACTTGGACCAGAGAAGCTTCTTCTTGCAGGAGATGGGAACAGTACATCGAGACCCACAATGGACAATGTGCAGAGAGTGAGAGACTTCAGAGTACTCAGTCCTAAATGGGGTGTCTTCATCAAACCCCTCCCCTCAGAGCTCTGGGAAATATGAAGAAAAGGAAGCAGAAAGGCAGTAGGAGCCAGAGGGGATGGATGGCACCAAGGAACCAGTGTCTTCCAGACACAACAGGGCTGACACACTGACTCACAGAGACTGTGGCAACACTCACGGGCCCGCACAGGTTCACTCACGCCAAAGAGGCTCCTGGCACTGAGAGTGGGAAGGAGACACAAGCCCAGAAGCTATCTCCAAGTGACAACCGCTTGCAGAGGAAAATGAATTTTCTCCAGTGGAGTCTTGCTGGGTATATAAACCACACTTCAAGGCACAGCAGTAGATGGCAACACAGAATGAACTCAATGGTATTTTTGCAGATATTTTTTGTCTCATATTGATTTGTTTGGGCATTTTTTATCTCACTGGTCTTTTGCTTGAATGGTTCCCGATTTTCTGTTTTTATGGTTGTTTTTGTTTGTTTGTATGTGTGCATACCTGTGTGTGCATTTCTTGTGCTTTTTTGCTATTTATTTTTATTCTGGTTTATTTCCTTTTTTTATTTGCCTGTTTGTTTTCTAAATAGAGAAAGAAGGCATGGAGTTGGATGACTGGAGAGGGTCTGGAAGGAGAAACCATGATCAGATTATATTGTATGAATTTTCAATAGTTAAAAAATGTGTGTGTGTGTGTGCGCACGCACGTGTGTGCGTGCGTGCGTGCGTGCGTGCGTGCGTGCGTGCGCGCGCACATGAGCATGTACACAGGAGAGAAAGCACTAACCCTGGGGTTCACTGACTGGCTAGACGGCTGGCCAGCACTGGGGTGACAGACATATTCTGCCTTGTAGAGCTTTCAAACCTGTGCTAAAGATTCACACTCAGGCCCTCATGCTCATGACTCACTCCCCGGCCTCCTAATTTAATAATTTCTGAGACAGAGTCTCACTATGCAGCCTAGGCTGGGCTTGGACTTAAGTCCTGTCTCCCGCTCCTGAGAGCTGGGACTGCAGGATGTCCTGTCACCGTGCCTGCTATTTTATTTTTATGCTACTTTGTTTCTCAGCTGGACAATTCACCCACAGTTTCTTACCGACTGGACAGAAAGAAGCTTGAGGGCAGGAACCTTCTCTGAGAGCAGAGCACCACTCAAGCTAAGCAGGCTCTGGTGGGTTAGAAAGACGTTCCCACCAGGTGAACGGTACTGTTGTTCCTCCCATTTCCTCACCCAACGTGACAAGAACATATCAATAAAAATAACTCCTTTAATTTGAGATATCACCAAACAACATAATACTTGAAAAACCTAACATGCCACCCAGTACAACTAGAACTTGTTTTCTTTTCAATTTTTAAAGATAAGGTCTCACTCTGCTGGCCTCCCACTCACAGAGATCTGCCTGCCCCTGCCTCCTGAGTGCTAGGATTGAAGTCATGGGCCATCACACCTGGCTTGTTTCTTCATTTTTAAAATAAGGTCCATGTTTGTTGGTTTAGAATATGTTACGACTGTGTTCCTAAATCCAATGCATTTTTCAAAACACCCCATAGGACTTTTAATTCTCACTGCAGCAGAAGTTCATAAATATTTCTTTTTGGAAAAAAAAAATCCTGTTTACTAGGCATTTCTCTTTCCTAACCACTACCATGAACATATTTTTAGATGAGTTGGAATTCCAGAACAGCAGTGCACAACTAAAGGACAAGTGGAAATCAGGGCAATGGCTGTCCCTCTGCAACCATCTCCTCAGCTCTTCGTGGCTGGCCCTCCTCTCGGGAGGCATTCGAAAAGCACAGCCTCTGAGCAAAAGCAAAACCAAAGCTCCTGTTGTAGAAAGATGTCTCCAAGATCCAGGCCTCCTCATGAAGGGATGCCATGAATATCCAACATCCTGATTCTACCGAGCCCTCACCATCTCTTATGAGACCCCTGCAATGACTTTCTAACTCGGTTTCCCTCCCAATCAAGACGGCATTCTTTAAGAAACGTTTATCCCAAAGCACACACGTGTGGCAGTCAGAAAACTTGTGGGAACTGTTTTGGTTCCTGGAATTGAACTCAAGTCGTCTGGCTCTGCATAAAGTTGCACACTGAGCCTCAAGACACCTTTAACGTTGCCCGTCACAAGTGCTTTTACACACTGAGCCATCTCACACCTCTAACACTGCCTTTCATAAGTGCCTTTACACACTGAGCCTTAAGACACCTCTGACACTGTTATTCAACTAATCCTGAATTACAGCCCTGGTCGGCTGGTCTTATTCAAGATGCTTCCAACAACTCCAAGTGCCTACAGCTTGTCATTGAGGCCTTCTGGAGTTTAGAATTCAAGTCTCTCATGTAACCTCAGTCTATTTTTTCAACATCTTCCATTATTTCATTTCATTTCACATCCCTCTCTTACTCCCCCGACAACCACATTTTCTTTGTTTCTTCTTCTGTGGTTTAGTTGGTACTATGCCCGTGTTCTACGAAACCATTTTTAGGCACACGGAGTCTCACTCTGTAACCCAGCCTGGCTGGGCTCATGATTCTCCTGCCTCAGCCTCAGTGTTGGGAGGTTTGTGAGGCACACCTGGCCACATAAGACATTTTTAAAAATCCAACCAAAGAAACGAAATACACACTCACATTCGCTGCACCACTATCCCCAATGACCAGGGAACAGAATCACCTAAGCACTGTCAGCGGATGGCTGGATAAGGAAAACGAGTCTCATGTATACACTGTGTAAATCTACCAGCGTTGGAAAAATTAACCTGTGATAGGATGGGTAAACACGGAGAACTTCGTTAAGTGAAACAAGCCCGGTGTTCTAAGTAAAATATTACAGAATTTCACTTAACTATGGTTTCTCAAAAAATTTTTATCTCACAGAAGCAGAGAGTAGCATGGTGGTTACTAGTGGTGGAGTTGAGGAAATGTAAGTCAAAGGCTCCAAATTTCAGTTAGATTGGGCAATTAAGTAAAAGACATGTAATCAGACTAATTAAAAATGCCTGCAGCCTTGAAAATCACTAAGAGGTTTTTTTTTTTTTGTGTGTGTGTGTGTGTGTGTGTTAGATATTGAGTTAGGATATTGTTATATAGCCCAGGCTAGCCTTAAACTCACTATTTTTGTCTCTGGCCTCTGTGGGAGCCCGTTTTCAGGGTTCCTCGTGGCTTTACCCAGCAGGTCCGCATAGAGAGGATGATTGGACCACGGGCCTGAGTACAGGTGTCTGAGATGACCTGCACTTGGCTGTGCTGGGGGGAGGTCTTTTGCTCCACCGCTTGGCGTTTCTATAAATACCTTAGGGCAGAGACACTCAGGGCTCATTGAAATAGGTTCCAGGCCCTCTCGAGGCTATCCTGTATTTTCTATCTGTTTATCTCTACAATCTAAATCCTTCTAATATTTCCTGCTACTCTCATTCAAGAAAACTCTGGGAACTGTGGGGTTGGTGGGTAAACGCCCCGCAGGCCTCAATGATGGGACCACCTGCATGCAGCACTCTAGGAGATTTCAAATAATCTTAGCACACACAAAACAACAAGAACTATGTATGTGAAGGAATGCATGCTATCTACTTTGGGTTAGCCATCTCACGATGCATACATATTCCAAAAACAATGTTGATACTGGCAAATATAAACACTTTTCATTTGTCAATTCAAGAATTAAATAATTTAATAAAGGAATAAATCCCATTTTGTTCATAACCATTCAAGATGGAAGCTGGAATGTATGCTAGAGGCTGGGATAATATGAGCACAACCAAAATAAACTCCCAGCGTATGCCAGGATTCGTCTAAGCATTTCAAAGTGTTAATCCTTCCAGGATGAAGATCAGAAGTGAGATCTGCCTGACTTCTGAGCTTGTGCTTACACACTGTGCCACACAATGCTGCAATGGTCTCACTGTGGCCAAGTATGCTCTACAGAAATGCTAACAGCGCTGCAGAAACATGAATGGCTGTGCAGACTCTTCCGACATAGGACCTGACTTTCATACACTTCTGATATACTTAGAAGAGGCTTCACAGAGAAGAGGGGCTTTTCCGGGGTTAACTGCCTTTACCAAGGTCATATGACCAACAGACAACTGGCAGAAAGAAAGTCAAGCAACTCAACATCAACCATCACACTCCCAGTTCAATATTCTGCTGGTATATTCTCTTTGACTGTATGAGCACATAACTGCATGAAGTATTTGGCTAGAACTATGCCAGATGTAAGAGCTTACTAAATATGTACCAAACAGGGAAGGAATGTGAGATGTCAGTAGCATGCAATAAAGTCAGCCTGAATTATTGTTGTCAGGTTCAACTTAACAGTGGCATGGCTGCACTTAATGTATGGCTTATGGTTTAAACCAGTTCTTTTTGTCATACACCTTATAAATTATGCGTGAACACTCACAGAAACGCCTATGGGTAAGGGCAGAGTGACTGGACTGGCATGTAGGCAAATAAGAAGGACGGAATGGTGAAGAGCGCTCATAAACTTCATTCCCATAGGCGGGTGCTCTTCTGTAGGTGACAGTCACTAGAGCCAGCAGTGCCAAGAGCTAGCAGCTCTAAAGAATGTAACTCCAATGGCAACATTATAACAGAAGTTGCAGAGCCCTATTCTTTTAAAGGAAACTATTTCTTGTATTAGCACCTAGTTGTGACTTCCTTATCTTTCAAATGAAATGCTGACAATGGCATACTACAACTCAGCTATTGTGATGAGGATCTTGAAAATTACATGCGATGTCATTTCTACTTCATATACATTAGCAGCCTGCTTTACTTAAAAAGCAAAAACCAGCCAGGTGTGCTCACCTTTAATCCCAGCACTCAGGAGGCTAAGGCAGGCAGATCTCTATGAGTTTGAGACCGGCCTCCAGCCTGGTCTATAGAAGAGTTCTAGCCTACAGTTCGAAGACTACAGAGTGAGACCATGCCTCAAAAGAAAAAAAAATGGCAAAATCAGCCTTCTAAATGTTCATAAGACAATGAAGTTCTTTTGAATGACACCAAGCTACTTTTTCTGGCTAATACTGATTCAGCAAAATTAAGATATAAGAAAAAGAAATCTTTTTTTTTTAAACAGGTGACTAAATTCTATCTCAACAGCGATTCTAACCATTTCTGTGATTAGCACATTTATTTTTAAAATGAATTGCAATAGCTAGTATTATATACTATAAAGGTTGACTAAGATTCAAATGACAAAACAGTTCACCTGTGCTGAATGCTTGCTTTGTGGCAGGAGCTGTACTAAGTACTCCATATGTACTGCTTCTTCCCACTCCATGACAAGTGCTGGGCTTGGTGGTCATGGCCAGGTCCGACTGGCTTACCTGAACAAGGGCCCATGGGTATGTGATTTAGTCTCTTCTTAAGGTTGAAAATAACAACACTGCCTCTCAGTCTGGATATAGGAGTCATGAAAGCAGTACTGGAAATACCTAGCCAGGGTCTGGCACAGCTAGCAGCATCCTCAATCACCTGCCAAGTGCAGCCCCCTGAGCAGGAAGCTGCAAACCCCAGCTGGCCAGGGACATACTAAAGAAGTCCTGTGGTTGATATTCACAGCCACTCCAGACAAAAGAAAACCAATGAAACCATGGTGCTTCTATACAGCTGGGTACTATCTGTGGTCTCAGTCATCTTCTGGGGGGTCTTAGAACATACTCTGTACATACATTATTTAATCTTAGCAATGAGGCAGAAGCTACTGTCATTATTTTGCAAAAAAAAAATTAAAGTGTTGGTCAAAGGGTTATTGCAACTACAACTCATCAAGGCTCCATGGCTTCTATAGGGTTGCAGGATCTGAACTGGTAGTTTGGCTGCGGGGCTGTCCTCTGCCACCATGTCTTCTATCTACTCCATGTCTTTCCTCTCCATTCCCTCCACAATCTCTTGGTGCTAGGCACTAAGCCCAGGGCCTAGTGCATGCCAGGCACAAATCCTACTGCTACATCGCCAGACCCTTTGAGGTCTTAAAATTAAAAAACAAACAAACAAACAACAACAACAACAAAAAACCCTAGTGTTGGCAAGACTGCTGAAATCACAATGATGGAAACTGTTTATTGATACAAATTTTTAAGACAATAACTGGCCAAAACAGATAAAAATTGTAACTGGAATAGCTTCTGATTCAATCGTGACTGATCTTGATTGGATTCAGAGATGGGGCTAGTAAAGCACACCTCAGGGTGTGTATGTGAGGATCTTTCTAGAGACAGTGGATCTATGGAGGAGAAACTGAGGGGGAAAGCCAGCAGTCATGCATGAGGCTGAGTGTCCAGAAGGAAAAGAAGAGGGAGACACCAGCCCACAGGTACAAGTGCCATTCTTCCTGACAAGTTCTATCATTGTTGTGGTGCCTTGAGGATGAGTCCAGCTATTTCTGTCTTTCGTGCGGACTCACACCAACCATTCCCCAAGGGTTCAACCTTCAGCCAAGGTGGACTACACTGCAGTCCCCCTTGTTCTAAGGCTTCCAGCTTTGTGGATGGAGCAGCTGTAGGCTTCTCTGGGTTTTGAGTATATAAATGACCACTGCTAGATCATCCAATAGATCTGAGCAACTTTGTAACTCTAAAGAGGTAATACCAGTGAGTTGATTCCAATACATTTATTCAACAATGCTTTATACCTTATGATACTTTCTATACCTCAAATGCCTTCTACCTTAGACATGAAAATTTGCTAGTTAACAGATATTATGTGGTTAAAAATAAAAAAGTAAGGTTTTATGGAAATGCTGAAAAATTCTGAGTGCACTTCTCTGAACAGCTTTACCTCAACAGGTGATGGGGAGTTCGATGGCAACAGGAAGGGAGCGACGGCCATCTGATGGACTGCATCTTCGTTTCTGTGAAATGTCATACAGGAAGATCAGTACTTGAAAATGGTTAAGTTCCTGACTCCAATTACAAGTACTTCCTTAGTTCTTAGTTCAAAATGTGCACATAACACCATAGAATTAAACATGTATAAGGAGAGATCCGGCATGCAAAGCTATCATACAAAGACAAGCTGCTACACTTGAGAGACACTCAGATACAGTTACTAATAACAAAGAATGATGATGCTAGGAGTTAGTAAATCCGGCCTAGGACATCCGATGCTGTAGAAGATAATTTTGGACAGGTGTCAACTCTTTCGGCACTGTGGAATGTCAATTTTTCAAATGACTGTACACAGCCTCTAGGTCCCACTCATGTCTACAGCGTTGTGTTCTTTGAACTGGAAATATCCCCAGCTGCCTCATTTGTCTTCAAACTTTGCTCTGTGAATGAAGGATGTCAAGATATCTATACAGGCCCTACATGGCAGTCTGTGAGGAGGAGTGATGGATGGGGAGAGCAGTGCTCTAGAAAGACAATGCCTTGTGGTTAAGTGAATGCTGCTTGTCATCTTAAATGAGCAGGGCAGGGAGGAGCTGGCATGTAATCAGCAGGGGGACAGGTGCACAGCCATGGCTAAAATGTCAGTTCTGATTATCTAGCTCATTTCTGTGTTACCAGCAGACAGTAAGCAATGCTTTGTGGGAGATCATGACTGTCATTCACTATTCACCCATCCTGCAGGACTAATATAATTAAGATACGATTTACTTATGTGAAGTCTTACCTTTCACAAATAAAAGCATGAAAACTCACACAGATGCTTTCTGCTTAACACAGGAAAGCTGGTGATGTAGTTCAATGCTAGAACATTTGCTGACTATATATGAGGGCCTGACTTCAACCCTAGTAGTAAAAAGGGCAAAATAAATAAACATAAGACCCGTATGTCTTTCCACATAGAAAGGTGATTTACCTGACTTGGCAGCTGGGTAACAAGTCCCTTGGTCCATGTCATTCCTGCTTTAGACCTTAGTCATAGTCATGTCCCTACATTCCTGAAAGGTCTACCTTTAGTCAATTGATAAATACCTCCCCATACTTCTCCAGTATGATTGAATAACCTCAACAAGATGACTGACTCCTCTAACAGGGCCACATTTACCTTTTCTACATTGACATAGCCAACTTGGGTCTTCTCCTGAGCTCACCACTTTATGTTTGCATTTCCCCACTTTACAGTTCTTTACTACATGTCTGACAAGCATCTTGAGAAAACAGAACTCGCTCTTCCACTCTGTCTCCAGATTGCTCCGTAGCTTATTCTCGCCTGAGTGCTCATGAAGACTTGCCCTCCTGGTCAACCGGGAACTAAGAGTCTTTGAAATTTATTCTGCCAGTGTACTTTGATCATAAGCACCCCCATGACTCTCTCATCCCTTCCTCACCACTGAACCTGTTCTTCTTCCCTGTGAGCCCCTCTCCTCCTTTCATGCCTACCTGTGTGTGTCCAACTGCATTTAGTTAGGGTCACTTGCATGAGCATAGGTGGAGAGCGGAGAATCTTTCTAGAAAAAAACTCATCTCTCAGTGGTATTTCCAATCCATGAACAAGTCTTATGACTCTGTGTTCAAAATACATCTTAAACCTTTTCACTACTTCCCAGCCTACCCTATGTGTTGGCCACCACCATTTCTCACCCTGATCAAAGAGAGCTTTTTATCTGATAGTCTTATGCTTCTCAGCATTTTCACTGAAGTCCATTCTTCCCACAGCAAAATTATTATGGTTTTAATAGATAAATCTGACTATATTAATCACCACCCTTGCCTCCTCCTCTTTGTCATTATCATCTCTGTTTTGAAACCGTTTCATGTAGCCCAGGCTGTCCTCAAACTTCCTACGTAGAGGAAGATGACCATGAACTTTTGACCTTCCTACCTAATGTTATTATACTTTGATTCTGGCTTTAAATCATCCTACAGCTTCTTATTACATTGAGGAGGCAGTCTACTGTGTTACTCGTGGGAGGATCCCACCTCTAGTTGTGGGCCTTTGGGGAAATCACTTCTCAAAAGTTCTTGTTTCTAGACTGTTAATAGAAGCAGACTGAACTATCAGAATCCTAAGCTGGTGAATATTCTTTGGGAAATGAGGCAGAGTATAAGGAGATGAAGGGGTTGGGAAGCTGGCTAAGTTGATAAAGCGCTTGCCACACAAGGCTGAGGACCTGAGTTCAGATCCCCAGCATCCAAGTAAAGGTTCCTGCCTGTAATCTGCTGGGAAGGCGGAGACAGGTGATCCCTGGAGCTCATGGGCAGTCAGCCTAGAAGAACTGGCAAGTTCTAGGTTCAATGAGAGACTCTGTCTCAAAGAAATAAAGTAGAAAATGATAGAAGAAACACTCAACACTGATCTCTTGCCTCCAATTGCATGCAAAAACACCTGCATAATATACGTATACATAAATTTATGTACACACATTTTTAAAAAGTATAGGTGTCATTTCTCATTTTGTCCCTTTTTTGGATTGTCCAGTACTTGAACTAAGTCAAAACAAATGTGAGAAAATCAACATCTAGAAACATTTGCTATAGAACATGAAGAATTTGTTTTTCCTGACAGCATTACTGATGCCTTGAACATACAGTATTAGAAGATTACAATTACAGGACTCCAATCCATTCTTCAGTAGCTGCTCACACATAGAAAAAGCAATCAGGTAACATGGAGCAAGTAATTTTTCCTATTGAATAACACAGCAGAGTTCAATGAAGCTTTGAGCAAAAAGCCAATGGGACACACCTGCTCCAGATGTAGAGCTCACAGGGCAGGGAACACTGGGAAGTAGTTAGGTAGATGGCTTTTCCTTTCCTAAAGGCTATGAGCATTGAAAACATGGCTGCCCATATATTTCGAGGTCATGATTAATTGTCTCAGGACAGCTTAAATCAGGTAAGCTATCTCTTTAAAATTTAATGATTTTCCACACATTAGTATGACTTCAATGCCTTTTAAAGTCCACTAGTTTTTCTTTAAATCTCACATCATAGAAAACTTGCAATTACTCTTAATGGGCAGAATAAGTTACAGTTCATAGTCTTTTATAATCCACTTAATAGTGACTGTAAAGACACAGGAGAAGGAAACCAGAAAAGGATTGTCACTGCAGACGAGCAGTGGGCCAGGTGACATTGTCACTGCACACAAGCAGTGGGCCAGGTGACGTCATTGTCACTGCACATGAGCAGTGGGCCAGGTGACGTCATTGTCATGGCAGACGAGCAGTGGGCCAGGTGACACTGTCACTGCACATGAGCAGTGGGCCAGGTGACGTTATTGTTACCGCACACAAGCAGTGGGCTAGGGACTCCTGAGGAAACTTCCAGCCCTCAACAGTCTAAGATCTCATAAGGAGTCAAATCTGTCTGCTTTATAATCAAGCTTTTAAACAACAGTGGAAGGTTCTTAGGCACCCATATGAGATCCCACCTGGAGTGGCAGTTGTTTGTGTTTTTATAATTATCTTAAACACAGAGAGAGAGAGAGAGAGACAGAGAGAGACAGAGACAGAGAGAGACATACAGAGAGAGATACAGAGAGACAGAGACAGACAGAGAGACAGAGAGAATAAAGCTCCACCACAGATAAGAGTGAGAACTTCCAGGGTACATTTCCCTGTGGATACCACAGTAACCCCAATCCCTGGGGAATATGTCTGAAGATACCTATTGGATGCCTAAGACCAAAGTAATGGACCCTGCTTATACTCAGTTTTCATACACAGTGTTCTAGTTTCCTGCCTGTTGCTATGATAAAAACACTGACCAAAAGAAATTTAGGGGAGGAAGGGATTTATTCGGCTTACACTTCCAGGACACAGTCCATCATTGAGGAAGTCAGGGCAGGAACTCGAGCAGGAGTTTGAAGCAGAAACCATGGAGAAATGCTGTTTGCTGGCTCATGCTTAGCTAGCTTCCTTACAAAACGCAGGACCACTTACTTAGGGATGGTGCTGCCCACAGGGGGCTAGGCCTTCCTATGTCAATTAACAACTAAGACAACCCCCACAGACATGTCCACACGCTGGTCTGACCTGGGAAATCCCTCAATTGAAACTCCCTTCTCAGATGACCCTGTGTCAAGCTGATAGTTAGAGGTAACTAGGACATATGAATATCTGGATGGGTTCTATACAGGCACAGTGAGACATTAACACAACACAGGGCAGTAACAAGGTACTGTTATGTGAATAGGCTAGTATCTCAAATAGCAAAAAATGTCAATACTTGCAGACATTGGTTAACAGCCGGGTAACTGAGACCATGGCTAACGGGCAGGAAATGTCCATCTTTGTACCTGCTGTGCCCTATGACAACTGCTTGAGCTGTTCTTTCTTCCACTACAAGCATAGGAATGACATTTTATGTCTTTGGAATCCCAGCTGATAGCAGGCCACTTAGCAAGAGAGTGTGCACACTACAGTACCTACAGAATGAGTGACCTTAGAAAGCAAGGAATGGAAGGCAGTGTGATTAAGCTAAGTCCTGTGCTTTCTAACCTGCTTCCATGAGTCAATGACAACAGGCTGCTTGTAGCCAGCCAGTAATCAGCACTTCCCCACATGAAGGAAATGTGGTGTATGTCCAGCTCATTGGCAACACCTGGATGGTATATTATATCCACACTAGATAACACAGACACCCTGCCTCAATGGAAGTGTATGGAGCAGATAGTTACCTTCGGGGCAAGCAAATTCTCTATCCCAGAGACTCACATTTTAGAGCAGATACACAAAGCTCAGTGGTGTGTCATTAAGACACTACCAAAGCAATCCTCTGGCTACTACAGGGCTTGGCAACTCCCCTGTGTGGACATCTCTAACGATGCCCTGGTGCCTTCTCTTCAGAAGTCTTAGTGGTTCCTGTTGACAATCAGCGAGATGTCTCTGCACTCTCCTAACAGTGTCTCCCCATTTTTTGTCAAGACAGTCTCACATATCCCAGGCTGGCCTCTAACTCACCA